TCAGATCCGTGACTCAATCATTTCCTGACAAGGGTCCAAGTCCGGACGGTCAGAATTCGGATAAGCGGGACATGGCCCCAGGGGGCCCTGAGTTGCAGGCTGTCCGCTGTCCCTCATGGGTCCACATTCCTAAACTGGTGATTCTAGTTTCATTAAGCTTGTCAAGTGTAATTTACTAATTTCCTGCAGTAACATAGGCTCCAAACCATCAGTGGAACTCCCCTCGATCCGGAACTTGAGAACTTGCACATGGTGGCCGCGCTTTCGATGTACAGGCCTGCTTATGGGCGGTCATGCACGTGGAGGCTGCACTTTTCAGTGTACAGGCCGCCCTGTCGATAGATAGGCTGCACTTCCCATGCACAAGCCTGTCTGACACCAGTTGCGATATGTACTTGATGGGCGAATTTTCGGTCTGACAAAATAGGCTTTGGTTAACCTACTGGTAGTGGTCTCCATTTGATTCACATGCATCCAGGATTTTATCCAGGATTTCAGCCTCTGCTACTTCTGCCTACCTGCCCCCCTTCAACAGGTTGCTACCCTGAGTTCATTTCATCAAATTTGTCCAGTCATCAGCCGAGGCTCGATTCCAGAGGGACCAGCTCCAACCACCAAATGCCTCCTTTCCCGTCCTATTCCACCTTTGAACTTGCCCCCAGTTTCTGAGCACCAGAAGGTGCGTGGGTGGGCTGGAGTGGTGGGAATGCGCAGCAGACTTAGCGAGTCCATAACCCACCGGTCGTACCTCTGAGCCTCTTTTTTTTTTCCCCGACGCACATTTTTGCCTGCCCCTGACATTACAAACTGTCGAGGGGTCAAGGCCTACTGGGCACCGCCAGCTGTTTTGGTCCAGCAGGGTCTAGCCTTTCCACGACGCCGTCTTAACTGGTGTGGACATATGGCATACCACGGCAGGGTACTGGGGACTTAAACCACCCGTACCCCACCCAGCTACCCCACATGCACCTACCAATTAACCCGGTGCTGCAGAAACCATTCACCCTGGCAGTGTCTGTGGCAAGGCCTCTGCCGTGAGGCAGTTGACGTGGGGCCTTGGACAGGTGTAGACTTTACTGGCCTGAAGGAGCTGGCAGCCCCCATCAGATCCTGACCTTGCCATGGTACCTGTAGTTCAGGGGTCGCGGACAAAATCGAGCATTGGGAAAAAGAGGCTCGGGAGTACTGGTAGCTTTTGAACTTTGAAGTCTTGCCTAGGCATGTTTTGGGCCTTGGGTAACTTGAACTAACTTCACATTCAGGTATTTCGGGAATTCTCCGAAAACTTTTTGTTACTCCATCATAACAAGTAAGTATAACAGTTAAAAAATAATACCCTATCATCCTTGCCAGATGTACCGAGCATATCGTTATTGGCCAATCAAAGGTCCAGCATCCAAAGGCATAATCTGGGAAAGCTGGAAGGTCTTACCCAGATCAGCCAAGACGCAAGCCAAATATCTCAGCCGGTGAACCCGAAGTGCGGCACAAGGGCCGCGGGGAATCGAACGGACGACGTGGGCAAACGAACCCACGGCCTCCTGAATGCCACTCTCGTGCTCTACCAACTGAGCTTGGCCGCTTGCCCACTTTTTGGGTAATCTAGTTCCTCTACTTTTGGGTAGTGTAGCGTAATAATAATTTTGTGCCTCTCGGCTTTCAGCGGTTCTCCCGTACCAACGTAGCTACCCGGCAATGCCACTGGCATGACAACCGGTCCACCATAGGTTGACCCATCCCAGTCCTACTCTCTTACTAGGGATGTTCTTGGTAGAGAGAGTCTAATCCCATTACGCTCGGGTAGTTTGCTCGTGTACCGGAGAGATGTGGGTGAAAGATAACATGACATAACATTTTGAGGGCGTGTTCGGGGTGCACGATGACCAATTGCGAAATCTCGCGCAAGTTCCTTGTTCTTGTGGCTTTTCCGAATAAGAAATGCGAACACACCGTGAGCGTGCGCATGCAATAGTGACACCTCAAATCTCTAAGTCCCTGATTGTATGATGGATTTTCCAAAGAACAAACATGAAAACACTGCAAGCTAACACAGCTGTCTGAGATACCAAACGAGTACCTCAACACCAAGTTGTGCTTGCTACTGGTGCTTCATGACGTGTTCTGGCTGGCACCAGCTGTCGGCCTTGTCAAAGAGAAGACGGCCCAGATAGAGGGGGGATAACCTATTAACCTGTCTGTAAGTGCTATACGGCTACTCCGTGTCTCTGCCCCTGTCCATTGAAGTTCGTTCTATTGATGCCTTCCCCGAAACGTTTTTGAGCAACACATTTGCCTATCATAATTCCATTTTTTGATTCTGGATCCATAACCAGTCTGAAGACTCTGAACTACCATTTTCCCCCGAGCAGTACACACCCTGCGCCCCTCATCATGACTGTGTATCAGGACGGAAAGGTAACTTGTGTACATTCATGATCAGGATGTGTTACGTTCGGGGGAATGAGGCAGTGCTCTGCAGATTTCATGGGACAGATCAGTTGTGCCAAATCGGTTCCTTTTTCCCGTTTTTGTCCCAGGTAGTTTTCCATCATCATAGCATGACACAGTTGGCACTGCTGAAACAAACTTTCTTACATGGCACGGTCACTGCACACCCTCCATGAAAGAACTTTTCAGCTTTTTCAAAGACGTCTGTCTGTTTGTCCGTCTGTCTCAGTCTGTCACAATCGTGCTTTTTCTTTTCTGTGGAGTTGTGCATAGCGAACATGACAAAACACACACAACACACACACCGAGTTGCTCCTGATATTCCACAGATTTTGAGGGCACACGCCACTTATCTTTCCTCCACGCACCTGCCTGCTGTTTGTTCC